TATATACAGGTTTATACATATCAGTGTCCTGTATATACAGGTTTATACATATCAGTGTTCTGTATATACAGGTTTATATCAGTCCTGTCCTGTATATACAGGTTTATACATATCAGTGTCCTGTATATACAGGTTTATACATATCAGTGTTCTGTATATACAGGTTTATATCAGTGTCCTGTATATACAGGTTTATACATATCAGTGTCCTGTATATACAGGTTTATACATATCAGTGTTCTGTATATACAGGTTTATATCAGTGTCCTGTATATACAGGTTTATACATATCAGTGTCCTGTATATATACAGGTTTATATATATCAGTGTCCTGTATATACAGGTTTATATATATCAGTGTCCTGTATATACAGGTTTATACATATCAGTGTCCTGTATATACAGGTTTATATATATCAGTGTCCTGTATATATACAGGTTTATATATATCAGTGTCCTGTATATACAGGTTTATATATATCAGTGTCCTGTATATACAGGTTTATACATATCAGTGTCCTGTATATACAGGTTTATTTATATCAGTGTTCTGTATATACAGATTTATTTATATCAGTGTCCTGTATATACAGGCTTATATATATATCAGTGTCCTATATAGGATTTGAACCAATTATACAGTGATTGGTGTATTGCTAAGAATTCCCGTTGTTATTTTCCCATTAACCAACACTTGACAGCAAATGGAGCCACATTTGATTATCACATTTGCATATAAAATGTATAGGTATGGTTTTTGACCAATGAACACTCAGGGTCAATTTGAACTCAATGAACACTATGCTTAAGGACCATCACATGCTATGGGTAAAGTGTTTGGCTTACAGATGCAATCATGACAGAACAGAGTAGTCAATAATCATAGGTTCTTAAGAAACACAACCACCATGGGACCACACATTTCATATCTTCATCCAAGTTTAAAGGCCCATGTTGGTCAGTCATATGAAAATACGATTTACATATGTCAAAACATAGGTGTAAGCTTTTTAATTGTGATGTGTTCATTCAGATTACGTTTAATGAATAAAAATGTATTGATTTAGATGAGGTAGAGAGCAGACCAGATCACAACACTTCGGTACGTATTGTTGCAATAGCTATATAAACCCACAGGGATATAAAACATGTTTTGGGCATTTTCCTATCAGAGTAGCGAGCTATCATGACAGTACTCGGAGCTATTGAATGTTAACACAATGAAGTAGTCAGTGTCTTCATACCTCTGTGTCAGTGTTATTAAAATAACTCCACATTCTCAAATTACCTCTCCTTTCATCTATTAAGTCTGTCAATGGAATTGTGTCAATTGTTTCAAACAGATGTCACTTTTTATCATGATCACTCTTTCTCTTCATATTTCAAAAGACTTATGCCTACATTTCAAATATAATTTCATTGAAATGTCTGTATAACTAGATATTGTATTATTATCTGAATTGGTTTGCAATATTCCATGGCAGAGAGGAGCCGGTATTTGTATAATTACACTCTAGCTACCATATTGATTTTGAATATGTCTAAATATAAAGCAGAAAGTAAAAGGGTAACCTTGTGCAGGCGACCAAATGTCCAGCCAAACAAAATCTCATGGCCATGCTTAGCTGTAGCCAATCTCCTGGACACGACAGTATTTATTTAATGGATTAGTCTTTCATAATGTTCAATGTCAGATATTCCATTGAAAAATATATTTCTTGCATATTGGATTCTAAATATGATGTGGCGCCAACAATTTAGAGGCAAATCCCTTTTAGATCTGGGATATAAAATAGTGTATAAACTGACCATGTGTAGATAGGGATGTAAAATCCTGTATAGATTGACCATGTACATATACGGATGTAAAATGCTGTATAGACTGACCATGTACATATAGGAATGTAAAATCCTGTATAGACTGACCATGTACAGATAGGGATGTCAAACCTGTATAGACTGACCATGTACAGATAGGGATGTAAAATCCTGTATAGACTGACCATGTACAGATAGGGATGTCAAACCTGTATAGACTGACCATGTACAGATAGGGATGTAAAATCCTGTATAGACTGACCATGTACAGATAGGGATGTCAAACCTGTATAGACTGACCATGTACAGATAGGGATGTCAAACCTGTATAGACTGACCATGTACAGATAGGGATGTAAAATCCTGTATAGACTGACCATGTACAGATAGGGATGTAAAATCCTGTATAGACTGACCATGTACAGATAGGGATGTCAAACCTGTATAGACTGACCATGTACAGATAGGGATGTAAAATCCTGTATAGACTGACCATGTACAGATAGGGATGTCAAACCTGTATAGACTGATCATGTACAGATAGGGATGTAAAATCCTGTATAGACTGACCATGTACAGATAGGGATGTAAACCTGTATCCTGTATAGTAAAATCCTGTACTGACCATGTACAGATAGGGATGTCAAACCTGTATAGACTGATCATGTACAGATAGGGATGTAAAATCCTGTATAGACTGACCATGTACAGATAGGGATGTAAAATCCTGTATAGACTGACCATGTACAGATAGGGATGTAAAATCCTGTATAGACTGACCATGTACAGATAGGGATGTAAAATCCTGTATAGACTGACCATGTACATATAGGGATGTTAAATCCTGTATAGACTGACCATGTGTAGATAGGGATGTCAAACCTGTATAGACTGACCATGTACAGATAGGGATGTAAAATCCTGTATAGACTGACCATGTATAGATAGGGATGTAAAATCCTGTATAGACTGACCATGTATAGATAGGGATGTAAAATCCTGTATAGACTGACCATGTATATAGATAGGGATGTAAAATCCTGTATAACCTGTATAGACTGATCATGTACAGATAGGGATGTAAAATCCTGTATAGACTGACCATGTGTATATAGGGATGTAAAATCCTGTATAGACTGACCATGTGATAGGGATGTAAAATCCTGTATAGACTGACTATGTAATAAAATGGGATTTTTTTTTATTTTCAATTATTTTTACGTACATCATCAATGACTGGTAAACAGAGTTTTTAACTCATATAGTTGAAGTCTTAGAAATCTGAGTTTTCAGTAAATGTTTTAGGACAAATAGATCATGTAGCGTCTTAACATTGTAAGCTGTGTTCTCTCTAAGGAAGATGAAAGTGACTTGCCTAAGGCTCATCCCTTTTGTCTTTCTTTACCCCTGCCAAAGTACAACTTAAATTTTACGACAATGTATTATCTGTATACATGAGACATATGCATCTTTCATACCATATAGAAAAGGGTATCTCTAGGAAAGTATTATGATAAATAGAAATTTCACATCATTCAAGCTAAACCATTCATCATAAGAATGTTGAATAGGATTGTTTCTATGGATTATTGTAAAAGGGAAAACTTCTCTGGAGACTTAAGTTTAAAATACACATAAAGAAGGTTGTTTGAATATAATTCCTTTGTAAAAAGGAAAAACTTCTCTAGAGACTTAAGTTTAAAATACACATAAAGAAGGTTGTTTGAATATAATTCCTCTTTTTTTTTCTTACTGTTGTTTAAAGTGCACTTTTTATATAGTTACTTAAAAGATGCATTTTAGAGAATTAATTTTCTTATATTCACAATCTGACTGTTTTTTTTATAGAATTATTCTAATTACTTTCAAAACAAAGTTGTCATTCAATAGATGTTATATGCACTGAACAAAAAGGCTGACAACTGATGAAATTAAAACAGAACTGATTTCAATTTGGCAGTAAATTTTGTGAAACAAGGAAGTAAAAAAAAGAAAAAATTCCACTTTGACATTATTTTTTATATTTTGTGAGATATTTTTAAATGTTCATGTGAAGTTTTTAGTTTAGGTAAATAAACTAAATGCACAAAATGTAGATTTATAATAGCTACAGTAGGGGATTCTTAAGTGTACAGCAGTTCAGCTTCCAACAGAATTTTACAATAAGTGTACAGCAGTTCAGCTTCCCACATAATCTTACAATAAGTGTACAGCAGTTCAGCTTCCCACATAATATTACAATAAGTGTACAGCACTTCAGCTTCCCACATAATCTTACAATAAGTGTACAGCAGTTCAGCTTCCCACATAATTTTACAATAAGTGTACAGCAGTTCAGCTTCCCACATAATCTTACAATAAGTGTACAGCAGTTCAGCTTCCCACATAATTTTACAATAAGTGTACAGCAGTTCAGCTTCCCACATAATTTTACAATAAGTGTACAGCAGTTCAGCTTCCCACATAATCTTACAATAAGTGTACAGCAGCTCAGCTTCAGCTTCCCACATGATTTTACAATAAGTGTACAGCAGCTCAGCTTCCCACATAATTTTACAATAAGTGTACAGCAGTTCAGCTTCCCACATAATTTTACAATAAGTGTACAGCAGTTCAGCTTCAGCTTCCCACATGATTTTACAATAAGTGTACAGCAGTTCAGCTTCCCACATAATTTTACAATAAGTGTACAGCAGCTCAGCTTCAGCTTCCCACATGATTTTACAATAAGTGTACAGCAGTTCAGCTTCCCACATAATTTTACAATAAGTGTACAGCAGTTCAGCTTCCCACATAATTTTACAATAAGTGTACAACAGTTCAGCTCCCAACATAATTTTACAAAAAGTGTACAGTAGTTCAGCTTCCCACATAATTTTGCAATAAGTGTACAACAGTTCAGCTCCCAACATAATTTTACAATAAGTGTACATTAGTTCAGCTTCCCACATAATTTTACAATAAGTGTACAGCAGTTCAGCTTCCCACATGCCTGACTTGTTTACTGTAGTGTAAATAGATAATTCAAATTGGAAATATGAATATGATGCTTTACGGGTGATTTGAACCTTTGATGAACATAAATATTTTGTTTGAAGAGTGAAGTAGACTTTTCCCAGTATAGAGTATTGTGTTGTTATAGGTGTAAGATATCAGTTACATACAACAACAGAAACAACATCTCTATATACACATCCTTTTTATTCTCTTTAGAACACATCTTTAATCAAGTTGTTATGCTTCACAACTTTTTGGTCATGCATGAGTAAACAGTAAAAGCAGTAAAACATAGCTACCTATCGTAACCGAAGTGCTGACCCATTTGATACCTTGTGACTTGATGTACATCTGGTCAATTCTGAGTCCTTCATGCCCATTATATGTAGCATGTTGAATTTCATGGCAGTCAACAGGAAGAATAAAAAGATATAGTAGGATGTTGGGTACTCTTCCAGAATATCATACAATATATTTATAACTTGTAAAAACAACTACATGTACAGGCTATCTACTCAATGACAAAAAGAATTTCAAGGTACCATTTGTACTGCTTTCAAAACCTGCTTTCTGTACTTAAAATATTTGTCCATTCTCTGTTGTGTTACCAGAATATTTTGACAGACCTACCCTTACATACAAGGAGAGAGTAGCAAAGACACTTACTGAACTGACAGTTCTGGACTATTTTCCTCACTTTGATATCAATTATTCTATTAACACTATAATTCTCTGAAGAATATTGATGCTATCTAAATAAGTGAGTAGTTTAATCCTTATTACCCCGTCATTTCTCTAACATGAAATAAATCTGTTACAAGCATTTGATAGTGAGCATTTCTGAAAGTCCAGATTTTAGGTCAGCACTTTTGATGACTGTTTTTCATCTTCTTCAGTTTGACTTAAAACTTTTCTCTGATGGTCTGTTTTTTTCTGAACAATTAAGCAATGTTACAATTTCCTGAATTCCTTGAAGAGGTGATTTTTCGCATCATTCTCAGTCTTTCTCTTGTTATCTTTCACTATTCCCTACGCTTATGTTTACTTTTGCTGCCTTCATAATCACGACTTGAACGGTTATCTTCATTTCCTCGTTTCTCACCACGCTTAGCTTTCTTCAAGAACTGATCAAGACCGAAAGGATCTTCTTCTTCAGCCTGCTCAAACTGGACCGGTCCCTCTCGCCTACGACTCGGATCTGAGCCAGCAAATCCCTTGTCTGGTACAAACCTGTCATAGAAATAAAAGGTAATTTTTGTGTTAATCCTTTTGTCTGGAACAAACCTGTCATAGAAATAAAAGGTAATTTTTGTGTTAATCCTTTTGTCTGGAACAAACCTGTCATAGAAATAAAAGGTAATTTTTGTGTTAATCCCTTGTCTGGTACAAACCTGTCACAGAGATAAAAGGTAATTTTTGTGTTAATCCTTTTGTCTGGTACAAACCTGTCATAGAAATAAAAGGTAATTTTTGTGTTAATCCTTTTGTCTGGTACAAACCTGTCATAGAAATAAAAGGTAATTTTTGTGTTAATCCCTTGTCTGGTACAAACCTGTCACAGAGATAAAAGGTAATTTTTGTGTTAATCCTTTTGTCTGGTACAAACCTGTCACAGAGATAAAAGGTAATTTTTGTGTTAATCCCTTGTCTGGTACAAACCTGTCACAGAGATAAAAGGTAATTTTTGTGTTAATCCCTTGTCTGGTACAAACCTGTCACAGAAATAAAAGGTAATTTTTTGTGTTAATCCTTTTGTCTGGTACAAACCTGTCACAGAGATAAAAGGTAATTTTTGTGTTAATCCCTTGTCTGGTACAAACCTGTCATAGAAATAAAAGGTAATTTTTGTGTTAATCCTTTTGTCTGGAACAAACCTGTCACAGAAATAAAAGGTAATTTTTTGTGTTAATCCTTTTGTCTGGTACAAACCTGTCATAGAAATAAAAGGTAATTTTTGTGTTAATCCTTTTGTCTGGAACAAACCTGTCACAGAAATAAAAGGTAATTTTTGTGTTAATCCTTTTGTCTGGTACAAACCTGTCATAGAAATAAAAGGTAATTTTTGTGTTAATCCCTTGTCTGGTACAAACCTGTCATAGAAATAAAAGGTAATTTTTGTGTTAATCCTTTTGTCTGGTACAAACCTGTCATAGAAATAAAAGGTAATTTTTGTGTTAATCCCTTGTCTGGTACAAACCTGTCACAGAAATAAAAGGTAATTTTTGTGTTAATCCCTTGTCTGGTACAAACCTGTCATAGAAATAAAAGGTAATTTTTGTGTTAATCCCTTGTCTGGTACAAACCTGTCACAGAGATAAAAGGTAATTTTTTGTGTTAATCCTTTTGTCTGGTACAAACCTGTCATAGAAATAAAAGGTAATTTTTGTGTTAATCCTTTTGTCTGGTACAAACCTGTCACAGAGATAAAAGGTAATTTTTGTGTTAATCCCTTGTCTGGTACAAACCTGTCACAGAGATAAAAGGTAATTTTTGTGTTAATCCTTTTGTCTGGAACAAACCTGTCACAGAAATAAAAGGTAATTTTTTGTGTTAATCCTTTTGTCTGGTACAAACCTGTCATAGAAATAAAAGGTAATTTTTGTGTTAATCCCTTGTCTGGTACAAACCTGTCACAGAAATAAAAGGTAATTTTTGTGTTAATCCCTTGTCTGGTACAAACCTGTCATAGAAATAAAAGGTAATTTTTGTGTTAATCCCTTGTCTGGTACAAACCTGTCACAGAGATAAAAGGTAATTTTTTGTGTTAATCCTTTTGTCTGGTACAAACCTGTCATAGAAATAAAAGGTAATTTTTGTGTTAATCCTTTTGTCTGGTACAAACCTGTCACAGAGATAAAAGGTAATTTTTGTGTTAATCCCTTGTCTGGTACAAACCTGTCATAGAAATAAAAGGTAATTTTTGTGTTAATCCTTTTGTCTGGAACAAACCTGTCACAGAAATAAAAGGTAATTTTTGTGTTAATCCTTTTGTCTGGAACAAACCTGTCACAGAAATAAAAGGTAATTTTTGTGTTAATCCTTTTGTCTGGTACAAACCTGTCATAGAAATAAAAGGTAATTTTTGAGTTTAAGAGATATATATAAATTTCCTATATGATCTATGGTCCCTTTGCTTATTGTTGCTGCAGTCAACAAACAAATAACAACGATCAAAATGATATACAAGATTTGCATTTGTATTTTAATATTAATATATCTAAACGAGGAGCCAAAGATGAAAGTGAGAACTACTGATCTAGTCAGTAAATGAAGACTGCAGGACAACATGTGAACCCACCTATTAGACTTGATGAGATTGTCCAAATCCTCTGCATAGTTATCCTTGTCAATGTTTTTAGATGGCCTGTAGATATTACTGGCGATGGTCTGGTCCTGTCTCCATGGCTTGTCATATACGTTGTATGCCTCCTCATCACCAAACCCACTGTCCATCCCCTGAAACAATCATCATGTTACGACACTTAACAGCCTGGTATCTTATACAAGGATTTAAAGAGTGTGTGTGGTGTGTTACTACTGTAAACAGCCCAGTATTATACACAAGGAGTTAGAGAGGATGTGTGTATTGTATTACTATTGTAGACAGCCCAGTATTGTACACAAGGACTTAGAGAGGGTGTGTGGTGTATTACTACTGTAAACAGCCCAGTATTGTACACAAGGAGTTAGAGAGGGTGTGTGTGGTGTGTTACTACTGTAAACAGCCCAGTATTATACACAAGGAGTTAGAGAGGATGTGTGTATTGTATTACTATTGTAGACAGCCCAGTATTGTACACAAGGACTTAGAGAGGGTGTGTGGTGTATTACTACTGTAAACAGCCCAGTATTGTACACAAGGAGTTAGAGAGGGCGTGTGTAGTGTATTACTATTGTAAACAGCCCAGTATAATACACAAGGAGATAGAGAGGGTGTGTGTGGTGTATTACTACTGTAAACAGCCCAGTATTGTACACAAGGAGTTAGAGAGGGTGTGTGTAGTGTATTACTACTGTAAACCATCCAGTATTGTACACAAGGAGATAGAGAGGGTGTGTGTAGTGTATTACTACTGTAAACAGCCCAGTATTGTATACAAGGAATAGGAGTTAGAGAGGTTGTGTGTGTAGTGTATTACTACTGTAAACAGCCCAGTATTGTACACAAGGAGTTAGAGAGGGTGTGTGTGGTGTATTACTACTGTAAACAGTCCAGTATTGTACACAAGGAGATAGAGAGGGTGTGTGTGGTGTATTACTACTGTAAACAGCCCAGTATTGTACACAAGGAGTTGGAGAGGGTGTGTGGTGTATTACTACTGTAAACAGCCCAGTATTGTACACAAGGAATAGGAGTTAGAGAGGGTGTGTGCGGTGTGTTACTACTGTAAACAGCCCAGTATTGTACACAAGGAATAGGAGTTAGAGAGGGTGTGTGCGGTGTGTTACTACTGTAAACAGCCTGGTATCCTATTTCTTTTGTGTGATATCAATAAGAATTAGAGGCAGTGTGTGCATGTTGTGTTACTACATTAAATAATTTGATATCTTATATTAGATATAGGTGTGGGAGGAGGTATGTATTTAGGGTTTTTACAGTTAACATTAGAGTTGTAACATCACAGCTAAAATTTATCTTGATACATCACAATGCACAGAGACTGTATTACAATATGTATCATGATATCATCAGTACATACTGACTGTGACTACAAATATCATTAATTGGAACTTGACGGATATGTACTTGACAGATATTGTTGAATGGAAAGAGACCAGTACGAACTGTACTGTGACCTACAAATATCATTGATTGGAAATTGACCAGTACATACCTTGGACTGATTAAAGAGGCGCTGGTCATACTGAACCTCTGATGACCCTGCACCTGTGTTAGGGAGACCAAGAGCAATCTTCTCGCTAATGTCACGCTCTCTCTCTTTCTGTAGTCGTGACCTGGAGAAATAAAATTTTTTTTTTACAAAGATACATCAACAGAAGAGAGATATTTTTTCATTTAAATTCCATGAGTGCATTTCTCAGGTTTTGTTTATTTTGCATTGTGTGTGTAACATGTCAATATTTATTTTACCTCTTATCAGGGGCAGCCCTGGACAAGTTACGATCCTTCTGTCTGTCTTTCTGTCTTTCCCTACGAAGGTCATCTCGTTCCACTACATCATCATCACCTGCACACATAAAAGTCATACATCTCTTTAAACCAAGACTTCAGTTAAATATTCATAAAAGCAGATTTTTCATTTCAAGAGAAGTTCCAGTGTATTGTACAGAAACTACTGGTACAGACAAAGAAAACAAAGCAAATTGAATTAAGTAATTCTATAAGAAAGTTTACAATTAAGATGACAAGAGTAAAAACATAGACAAAATTTACCATCTCCCCTCCTGATGCCTGCTCTTTCCTCCCTAGCTTTCTGAGCCAGCTGTCGCAGTACTCCTTCTTTCTCTTCCTTTTTCTTCTGTGCTATCTTTCTGTCAATCTGTGCTCTCATTTCAACAGCTTCTCTTGCCTACATGTTCAAGATAGAAGTTTCATATACTGCTTCAGGGGAAGTAACTCCTAATTGAACAACTCCAAATGGTAACTTTATGAAATTTTACAAAACTGCTACAAAAAACATTTAAAGAAACCATTACATACAAAGACCAAATAAACTTGTTTTTGTATATAGTACAACATATTACAGAATATCCTTACCAGAGCAGTCTTCGTCAATCACTAGGTCACTCTAATACCAAATCAAACTTTATGCCAGAATAAGTATTTTGTGAGTATTTTAAAGAGAAGAAGCCAATACAATCAGATCTCTACCTTTCTGTCAGCAATGTAAAGCGCTTCAGCTAATTTAGCGAAGTTTTCATTGATGTGGACACCTTGGAGCCCGCGGCCATCAGCTGCTAACCGCTTGTCCAGAGGAATGGTATAGCCCTGTAATCAAAATGACATAATCTACTAAATACAATGTTCTTCTATCATCCTTTACTGAGTCATCAGAACTATCTTTGTTTCCCTTATAAACAGATCATGCTGTAGTATTGATAATCCATATGTCTTATTACAAATGATGGTGACAGTTGTCTGCAGATATTGTTTATCAAAGTTAACAGTTTGTTATATAAGAAGATCTTTAGTCATATCTACACATCTAAATCACTTACTCTGGCGTTTTTCCAGTTAGATATACAAGGGGGAATCTTCCATTCTTGTTGCTCTTTCACTGTCACCTGTTAGAACAAGAAAAATTGTAATATATCATAATCGTATGTTACACAGTTATTTATCTATCTACAACTGAACAAGACTGAAGATATTCACTCCAGTTTTCCAGACACAAAGCATACCAAGGCCATTTACAATGCAAAGTTTATTGTCATATCAACTTTCATAATGTCACAACACATCTTGGAACGGTGTCAAACAACAGAATACTTCTGAATATTCCTAATGGCAAAATATCCAAACTTGTCTGAGAATATGAAGATGTTTACTGCCACTTTGTATGGTGAAATCAAGACACAGTAATTATTGGTCTGAAATATTAGAAGGCAGAGAATAACAATAAGGAAAGTAAATCTAGTGTTAATGTAAATCTCACTTTTCTGTTTGGTGAGTGCATCACAGGGGCAGGAGGTGAAGGAGGTCCACGAGGAATCTTCTTGTTTACTCTGGAAAACAGAAATAAAACAATTAAACACTGATGAAGTTTAAATTAAGCTAAAATATATATGAAATTTTATCATTTAACAACATATAATTTCACAAGCCTTACTTAACCAACGATCACAAACTATCTTAATCATTACTAATGCGTCATACGTACAATGCTGAATAAAACAAGAATTGTTTTTGTTGTGATTTTGATGCACTCACTTGAACTTGGGAGGTTCCATGGGGTCCTTCTGAGCATCCACCATTCTAATGATTCTTTGTTTGGCTCCAGAGTTAAAAGCCACGCCTTGTTGTGATGGGGTATATCTATAAATAAAACAAAAAACTTGGATATATGATAGAAAAGATATCAATTCTGTGTATGTTACTTTCTCAATAAATAAAGCAACACTCTTGTTGTACTTCTGTTTTTCAATGCTGTAAATAGGAAGCAGCATTCTAGTAAAAACTAAAATAGAGACATGATCACAGGAAAAAAGCACTATCAAGGAAAACTGATATCATCATTTGCAATTATATCATATTTCTGGCTGCTATCATTTATGTGACTGAATTTTTTTATGTTATTAAGTGTATAACCTAATGTATTGAGCTGGTGCCTGTTTTTCTGCAGCTCGCACAGGTAGGGCTGCAGATATCTTTGTAGATACAAGTCTCTCCAGGGCTTGTCTAGTCTTCTCTGTTGTTTCCCGAATAGAATCTTCATTCGGTTTCTCCAACTCTGGATCATCTTCATCCATTTGTTTTGGAACCAGATCCTGGAACTTTGAATGGACAACCTGCAAAATAAAAAAGAAAAATACAATTATTCTGTCAATGAGTTGAAGTCTACATACGCTAAAATGACAATACACTACAACTACTATTTAGCAGTGTTAGAATCACTAACTTACAATACAAAAAAAAACTGTTTTCTATCTAAGGATGATATGCTGATAGCCACAACATTTTCAGGTTAACTAGAGGCCCATGGGCCATGACTCACACCTGAGTTATAATGCTGTTGTTGTTCTGGTCACAGGTCATAGAAGTAATCTTGTTCAAAAAGTAAGATAACTTAAACTACAACTTACATGTAATGCAAATGTAAAATATCTCATGCTAAGGCTTCTAACCATGTTTGAATCAAACTAAATTACATTTTTCTACATGAACACTTCCCTCTATGAAGAGCATTTAATAGATTCATCATACCTGGATAATGAGAATATTTTTCAAATTTTAATGAATTTGACCCCATCAGTCCCAGAATGTGATTTTCCTACATTAACTGTAGTAAAATTTACTTCGCCTTCCCTGGGGGAGATGTGAGTGTCTAAGTTCATGGCATGTACTATTCTGATAAAGCACCATATGAAAACTTTCCATGAAGAAAATTTAATTCCATGATATTTGGGTACTGAAAAGTAGATTTTTGAAATTTCAGTCCATTTGACTCTTCAATGACTCTGCCCCTCATGCCCCTTAGGGTGAGGACCTTATAACTTACAACTTTGGTACACCTTTGGCCATAAAAAATGTCTGCAAAAAATCTCTGAAATTGGTTAAGGGGTTTTCCAGAAGAAGTCATAGACAAAGTAAAAAGTTACGGACACATGGACGCCAAACTAAAGGTCACCCGAGACAAAGCCTCATTTTAACCTAAAAACCATTTTAATTTCAAATGAATATTTACATAGTTATAAACACATATGTCTCATCCTATCTATATCAACATGACATAACTTAAAATATCTTTGTTTTTTCTGTCACCACACTACAATTTCTACTGATCTCAGGTGATCACCATACACCACAGTGATATCTCCTCACCTTATCCTTGCCATGGCCATACTTTGCTATGGCATCATACTTGATTTTACCCTGAGCATCAAGCTGTGTTGGTAAAGCATTGGAGGAGCTTTTCTTCAGTCCCATCTCCAGGGGATATTGAGCAACAGGAATCTCTGGAAAAGCACCTCCATCTCCAAAGTCCTTAAAACAAATCAAGTTTTTTTTTTGTGAAACCTTCTACTTGATTGCATTATATACACTATACATGTACAAATTATATCAAGGCAGTAGAGAATGGACAGTCTATTAGGCTTCAAATCTGACTTTTTCATTATTTATGATACTGAATTTTTGGACAGAATATTTGATGGCAATGCATGCTTTTGACTGAATTTTAATGATAAACACTTGTCAGAATCATTACAGTATATATATCATTATAAAATTTATTGTGATACCCATGCATTTTCCCAAAGATTTATTTTACCTAGTATGGATACCTTACCAGGGACATGTCTCTTAGGAAAACATTGAAATGAAATGAACTTGAGGTGCATAACAGCACAAATACCATAGGAGCTGACAGGCCAATATATAAAAGTATGGGTTATTATATAATGTTACAAATATATGATTCTGTGAATTAATCATAGCTGGACATTGAAACTTACATCCTGTGAGCGAGGCACCCAGCCTTTTCTGTGTCCATATGGTGGAGCAGTCCATTTACTAGTAACAGCAGTTACCTAAGAATGTTGAAACATAACATACATAAGTAACAGTGTATCTAAATAGTAGCAAAGTATTTGATAAGTAACGAAGTGCCTAAATAGTAACAAAGTGTCTTAATAGTAACAGAGTATTTAATAAGTAACATCATACAACTTCTTTATCATCATATCAGTAGTATCAAATAGTAACAAAGTGTCTAAATAGTAACAGAGTATCTAATTAGTAACATCATACAAATTCTTTATCAGTATATCAGTAACAGAGTATCTAAATAGTAACAAAGTATCTAAATGGTTTCTTTACCGCTGCATTTGCTCTGTATTGTCGATCATCATCTTCTCTGTCATAATGCTGACCTGGAGCAGGCAGAATACTGGAAAAAGTAACAAAAAAGTGAATAAATTCATAGTAAAAATTCAAATATACACTGTATACTGATACTGGTTGTGGACCCATTATCGTGATGTATACATTATCATTTCTAGCACCATAATGCATGAGGAATTTTCTTGTCCATGTCACCCCTAAAACTCCCAGGGCCACAAAAAATATTTTTGTCTCCAGATTTGGAATAAAGAAGATCCTTTTGTTTTTAAGAGCATTGGTTAGCTTACCATAAACATACGACCAATCAGAGATTTATCCTGCCATTACTTCCAGTTTTAGCTTTACATATGCTTATTGATAAGAGCCAAGCTGTAGATTGGTAATGTGTTTACGACAGGTACGGAGCACAGGTGATCTGCACTGTAACCAATAGCTAATATTAACCAAAACTTTTACATATTACGAAACATAAAGGAATATCATGACATCAAATTATTTACCCTATTATAAGACGCAGAGCCGTTTTTTTACCAATTTTTTCTATTTGATCAACATATAAGCCGTACCCTTTTCTGATGATATGGTGACCACTAATGCTGACATTTAATATACCATTAACAGATAACGGAAGACAGTTCCTACGAAGTGGTTACCATTATGTTGACCAAAGTTTGTTGATATAACAGACAATGGAAAGCAATTTATCAAGATCATCAGGAAACATATAATAAATTTTGCAAATGAATTATACACAGATAATCCTTTATTTTATTTCATGTAGTTGAAAAAAACCATAAAGTAGCAAATATTGAACTTGTTTGGCCTGATGTTATGCACGGTTTACTAAACAATCTCTCCTTCAATGTGTGGCGTTACATTTTAACAAAGTCCCTTGAATGCTGACCAAATTCTCATAGTTTTTCTTGTAAGTTACATGAAACCAGGTGGTCTTTCTAGAATTTGACCTTTAACCTGATTAATCAAATCCATGAGAACATTATTTTCATTTCAATCTTCAAATAATCTAGTATGTGAATGCAAATGACGGTTATAGATGATCTGTTTCAGTCACAAACATGTGACGGGCAGGTACTAGTAAAAATACTCAGTACTATCTCTACTCCAACAATGTTAGAGGTTTTACACAGCAAGAAACTTATGACAGGCCCTGTGTAGTTGCAGTCAGCATAACCATGACAGATAATAAAACAGCCAACCAGTGGCCTCTCATGTTATAGTATACCGTCTCATACTGGTGTACTGGTACCATTCCCTTTTTTTTCATTATGCCAATTATCTTTTTCATCCACATATAAGCCACATCAGTATATAACTGCACACCTCAACTCATGAGGAAAAAAGGTGCAACTTATAATCTTGAAAATATGGTACATCAGCACACAAAACACCAAGATCACAACACTTATAGGATCAATCACTTGCTGAAGTGCATCAAATTTTCTTAATATCTTGAAGCACTAACCAGTTTACAAAAATTCATTGATGAAGCTTTTTCCAGGTACTGCCAGGTTAATCGGGTCACATATTTGTTCCGATCGAAAGATCAGGGGTAAATTGTTTTTGTGCTGTTTGTTTGTCGGTTTCTGTCTGTTGATAACCGTTAATCTTGTCCATAACTATTGCAACATAATAGGCTTTCCTATTGGCATATGTGTTCCTTGTGACAAGACCTTTCAAATGGTACTAAAATAAAAACAATTCTTGCAATCGGAGGCATAGTGTTTCATAGATAAATAATGTTTTCTTTGTTGTTTTTTCGTGTGTGTAAGGGGAAATATATCGACAAACAATTAGCCATTACCAAGTGTTTACCACAATAAAACCACCAAATTACAACGTTGTATGACCGTTCGCATATCACTAAAAGTTGTTACTAAATTATTGCCTGTCGTAACTAATAAGCGTTACGTTGGAGCTTCGCTTGCAAATGTTGGCCCAACGATTGGGTAGCAGTTGCAAGTCGATTTCCTTTTAACAAATCTCTTATCATAATCACTGGTCGAACACCAAAATACAGTTATGAGATACAAATTCATAGCATTTGCTATGTTATGTTTATATATAAAAAATCCAAATGTTAATTAGGGGTAAATTTTACGTGTTTATGTCAGAAGTCTCGGTCACTTACTCTGATAATTTCATCGCCATGTTGAATTTGTCATCTAATAACAAAAACGGTAATCATCCGGAACGTTAAAAAAAGAGCCAAAATGTGTATAACACCAAGTTTTAAAGAAATTGTATTTTTTAACTTCCATTTCAATGGTGAAAATACGCATTGTCTTCTGTGCTGATACATCAACAGGTAATGAATAATATTCATCTGTTTTTTTTTAATAATAATAATTTACGGTGCCAGAGTCCGTGCCGTCGAGTAGTCTTATCACAACACGACTACATGCAAGCGCTTGAGGTAAACGAGATTATCATAAAGCTTTAGGACGACATTGACTTTTATTTTGCCAGACCAACTTTGTGTACTTACATAAGTATATGGGAGTCACCTCTACGTGGGTCTACAGGTCAGTTCAGGTACCTGATCATGAAGAAGGATAAGCAGAATTTCACGAATGAAGACCATACTGCAGATCAATGAAATGTGTACAGTATGTGTATATCTGTTGTCGTTCTGAGTTAAAACTATACAGCAGACGATATTTCCCCCAAGGGCCTGCTGTCGTGCTGCTCCTAGCTGCTTTATCAACGAATTAACATTGCTAAAACTTTGAACGTTGAATTCTCAGCAACGATTTGTACACATCATGCATTTACGTAAAATCATTTCTATTTCCAAAGTCATTGATACTATGTTGTATGTAAATATTATATATGGATATATAGGCTTATAGCCTGTGTCCATCAACTTGCTTTTAAACTGATCCATCAGTAGACCTGGAAATTGTCTCTAAATGATAATTAAATGTCAATATTCACATTTATCACTATGATCAATAAACGTATTAACTGTGAATATTGGCATTAAGTTACCATGGTATCGTTATAGAGAATTTTCAGTCAAGACTCCACTGCTCTATGGTCTTCTCATTGAGCTCATTGAGCAAGTGCACCCATTCAACTTACAGGATACAATCCTCTCATTCCAACATCACTAGCAAGTAAGCTACAAAGTGCCTTTTAAAAAAAGACCATACAAATTGATGTATTCCCATTCACAGAGACATTTATCAGATGTTACACTGTTAGATGTTCTATTTTTCAGATTCCCGTTAGAAAGACAATATCTTAATCATAAAAATGAGTCGACATTTGTTGAAGCGAGCTGTGAAGTATAGCATCCTTGGTAGTGGGATTGGATGCTCTACATTCTACCTTTGGAAAAATGACTGGGAATTGACTAGCATAGGTGTTGTTAGATTCGGACGAGCTGCATGTGTGGTGAGTGTGTTAAAATATACATTTATACATTCATTTATGTTGTGCATAATATATAGACATGTACCAGTATATGTTATATTATGCAAGTTTAGCATTTCAGGCAGGAGCAAAATTTAGAAACATAGGGTGTCTTTTTACATATAAAACAAAAAAAGGGTATCAGAATTGAAAATTTAGAATACTGAAATGTACATATTTGATAAAGTACAAGACAGCAAGCTCTCCTTGTTGATATCAGCATTTTCTGTGAAGTTTCAAGTATCTTATCTCATTTCCTCTATAACAGAAAAAGATAGTGTTAAGTTAGCTAAGATATGCCTGTGTAGCATATCCCTTACATATCCCTTAAGATAGAAAATGTTATGTTTTTATTTACAGGCACTGCGGATAGCAGTAGATTATAAATTAAGCTTACATAATCAAGATAATACTTCCCCAGCATACCAAGACCTGTTGTCAAAGGTAGGCTTTATGAATATCATTTCCATCAGCTTATTGATATACCATCTGGGATGCATGGCTTCCTCTAGACAACTGAATTTGTTGACTTTCCATAATTAGTATGAACTCTCTGGTTGGGAAGGGCATGTCTATTTGACAGGTGTTATGACCATCCCAATTTCTGGGAATTTCACTTCTTAACTAACTAAGTCAAGAGTCAAATGGAAGCCCTGAATTTCAGTAGTCCATGTTTTCTGTTATGACCATCTACCCATATTGTCAAGAGCATAATTGAAGAGATTCAAATTTGAAAAAACACTAAACAATGCCTGTGTTGTTGTATACTGAGTCATTATACACTTACTTTGTTCATGTATAAACATCTGTAAGTAGCACTATCAGTTACAAGATATTTCGTAAATAGATCTTCATCATCAAAGAAAGAGGCCATATAAATACAATCTGATAAGAACCTACATAACAACCCATTAAGATATATATCATTATGCCATTGCTGTATGTCAACAGAAATTACAAAAAAAAAATTAAATAAGAATTAATAGCATAATTCAGTTTTTTTCTTTTTCATTTCTAGATACATTTACGTTCGGCCCTGAGATTGCGAGAAATGATCTGTAAGAATGGAGGTGTATTTATTAAGGTTGGACAGCATGTTGGCACCCTTGACTATCTCCTCCCTGAACAGTATGTTAGCACAATGAAGGTACTTCACAACCAAGCTCCACAGTCAGATCTGGCTGATCTTCAGAAAGTGGTAGAGGAAGACTTGGGCAAAAAGGTGCACTTCAGTTTCTACATGTTAAAGAGGGTAGATCTATTAGTGTATTTCTTGTTTAATGCCTGGTAACAGCTTGTCAGGTTGATTCTCACAGTGGCAAGTAAAATAAGGTGCTTTTAGATACAAATATGGCTGATTTTAATTCTCTGAATAAACTTTAAAATGAACATGTATTAATCTATGCAATCTTTTTGTTTTGAAAAAACCAGTTGTCTCTCACATGCTACCATTAAGGCAAACAAGAATGAAAATATGTTGAGAAACCTTGCTAAGTAATGGTTTTAAAGTACATGCATTTAGTAAACAAATGATAACAATCTGTCCTGTAGTTGATACAAATAGGGTTTCAGCCCAAAACAACAAATTGATATCTTCAGGTATGAAATTTGTTTGAGTTATGTTTGATAAGAAATGCTTCATCACAAACCCACTGAGAAATTATTAGAATGGAAAAAGGATACATTGTATGTGAGACTTGTTTATACTCTTGCTACTTCAGTAGTGAGCTAGAACTTCTAGTAGCCGTTGAAAAACTCTTGATTAATGTGTCAAATATTGTTTTTCTTTTTGTATAGATTGAGGAGCTCTTCATTAATTTTGAGTCCAAACCCATTGGAGCAGCATCCCTCGCCCAGGTCCACAAAGCCACTCTCAGAGATGGCCAAGTGGTGGCAGTGAAAATCCAGCACCCTAAGGTTAGGGCAAGGTCGTATGTGGACATCAAAACCATGGAGGTCAGCTTTTGAATTATTCATGTGACAATTATTAATGAAAGATGCTTTTTTTTCTATTATTCAACTGCATAGGTTATTTTTCTATAAATTATACTTGTCAGATATGCTGTTTTGAAAAATTTTTGGTATCAAAATAGACACACATCTTAGTCTCACTCTTGGCATTGGCTCATGACCTTTTAAGACTTTGAAAGTGAAAATTGGAGATTTGGTGTTAAAATTCGAGAATAGATAATGATATAAATATATATATAGTAATAGATATGAAATTGATGATGAAGTCAGAGTAGTTAGGACATTCTTTAGTTGATTCACAGATTGAGAAAATTTATGATTTTTTTTGCAGAAGTTTTGTCATTAAATATGTTGTATATTTATTTTTTGTTTTAAAAAACTTGAGGCAAAGTAGTCAGAGTGAAATTCATATAATCAACCTACCGGGTATTTATGCATGTGGTTGAAAATGATCTCGAGTTCCTAAATAAGGTTCTCTTTGATGCTTGGCCATGATATTTGAAAAATTTTATTTTGCTTCCAGCTTCTTGTGCGGGGACTAGCCATAGTGTTTCCAGGCTTCCAGTACCTGTGGCTGGCTGAGGAAACAAAGAAAAATTTACCTTTAGAACTGGATTTCCTTAAAGAAGGAACAAACTGTGAGACAGTTGCTAAACAGTACAAGCATTTCAGCTTTTTAAAGGTTTGTCTGTGGACAAGTTTACCCCAAATACCTGACATATGTTAATGAAAATATCTTGTGTATATAAAATTGTTGTGGGATGCTTTATCTTATAGATTTAGTAATAAATTAGATCTACCAGAAGGTATTTACCGATAGTTTATATAAGTTGATGTTTTAGAAAGTATAAGCTTTTTCATTTTATCAAAAAAGAATTTTTTCCGTTTGTAAATGAACATGAACCAAATACTCATACAAAATTATAGCGATTGTTTGAATTATTTGTTACTTATCTTGGTGTGTAACACCTGTTACCTAGTTGATGCTTCTGCTCAGGTACCCAAGATTTTGTGGAACTTGTCATCAGAACGGGTACTAACCATGGAATACTTTGAGGGTGGCAAAGTTGATGATCGTGAATACATGAAAAGTCATGGCATATCAGTCAATGAGGTAAATACAGTGCTTATGCTCAGACAACCTGGACTCTATTTTAACAGGCACCATAAATTACTGGAAAACATATTTTGTGTGAATCTTATCAAATTAGTCCACAGTTACTGGAATATTATGCGTTTTGAAATGTGTAAAGTTCATCATGAAAGACAGGAAAATCTAGATGTAATTTCTTGTATGTCTTCAATTTAAAACAATAGAAAACAAGGCTTAGAATGTTTTGTTTCACAGCAACACCTCTGCATAGGGATATTTGTCATGTTTAATCATTAAGGCACAAACCAGGACTGTGGAGTAGTCATTATGGTCTGGTGAAGATGCCTTCATTTGATAGAACAACTTAGACATGCTGTAAAGCATTCTACATCCATTTCCTGGTAGATCATTTCATTCCTTTGTAAAACACCAAAAAAAATGACTTTCATTTCGGCTTACCTTAATTGAAACAAAAAATATAAAACCTTTTAAACTGTACATTCTGATTTTAATCTTTTGTGCTGTAATACATTGATAATGAATGACATTCTCTGACAGGTGTCACGTAAGCTGGGAAAACTGTACAGTGAGATGATATTTGTACAGGGCTATGTTCACTGTGATCCTCACCCAGGAAACGTCCTTGTAAAGAAAACCGAGACAGGAGTAGACATCATTCTGTTAGACCATGGACTTTACCAGGTATGATTGATGTTTGTGGTAACGAAAGAATAATGGTTAAAATTCCTTTGTAATTTTTAAAATGTATCTCTCACTGAATATTTTACTGTTGTAAATCCTTCGTAATTTGATGAGTTATGCCCCTTTGTCATGTAACATTTTGCTTTGATGATAAATTTACACTCGGCAGGGTTTTAGTCTGACATATCCACTGGTAATTTTTTATATGTTGTGTAAGACGGAGATTACGTATCTGGAGACCGACTCAGTATTAAGAGACAGGAAGTGATTATATACCATTTCTAACAAGGATGAGTGATCCATAAAATGATGAATGATCAAGGTAGTCAGACTGAACATGTCCAGCTTGTCAAACATATAAGATCTAATGATTGGAACCATTTATAACTGGTTGCTTGACATATTTGTTTATGGCAACATGTATTTCTGCCATGTAAACATGTATTCTGTCTATAGCCTTAGGACATAATGACGATAAGGTTTTGGATATAGCTCATATTCATATTTTGTTTAATACGAAATACAAGATTTTACAATATATAATAATTTTGAATTATTTTTGAAATGTATTAAGGTTCACTCGTCTTTTTGTCAATTTAAATTAGATATAGTTTTTACATCATGTCTGAAATCATACTTGAAGTAAATATACATAATGAAGTTACAAACTAGGAAAGTATATTGATGAAGTATGGTTGAATGATTTTAAAGTATGGCAGTACTTCAATGTATTGATAATGTCACTGTTTTGTAGTCTCTGACTGATGACTTCCGGCTACATTACTGTAAGATGTGGATGGCTATGATCAATGCTGATGTAGAAGGAATAAAGGAGCATGCTACTGCACTGAACGCTGGAGATTTGTATGGATTGTTTGCTTGCATGTTATCAGCCAGATCCTGGAGCTCTATAACATCTGGAATGGGAAATACAAAAATAACACGTGAAGAGGTAGGTTTTAGGTCTTTGTTTAAGATTCTATCATAATGATGATGGCTGAAACATATTGACATTTCATAAACTATGTTAGATGTTGATAATCCGTCATTTACATATCAAGATTTAATCATTAGACACAATTCATGATTTTTAATTGAACATGTTGCTAACATATTACTTACATGTGATGGTACAACCTTACTCCTGCAGCACATTAAAAGATTACTGTTGGTGATGAATAACATTTGGAAATATACATTAGATAATGTTTATACAGTGCCCATTGTTCATGTTCATTAATGCATAGTTATCCTTTCCTAAGGAATAGTTGGTTTGTTCCACTTTCATTTTGAGTTGTTAAGTAAGGATAAAAAGAATTACCAGATGATTTCAACCTTCCTGAAGCTGTCCCAGATACATGTGAGCTAAAAGATTTAAAGAATAAATTCTAGATCTTTAATGTTCCACATTTGGTAATTATTGAAAAGGTCAAAAGTGGTTTGTTTACAAAGTTCCACACATGACCAGCTTTTGTGTACACTCATTATATATATGTTATATATGTAAACATGAAATGGACCTTTCTTTTTGTCTTGGCAATAAATCAATTAAAATCGGATATGGTGAGAAAGTAGATTTTATTTTCCTTACTTCTATATTATTCTCATTTTTCTGATTATTTGTAAACAAAAAGTACTTTGGTAAATAAGTGTTGTTTGTTACACATGAGACCTAACTACTACAAATTTGGACCTGTCACAACATATGTACTTGTATATAATTAACTTTTGTTGTCCAACACACACCGCTTGCCACTTTCTGAGGTGTGAAACTACATGATAAAAAGACCAATAAATGCAAGGTCCAGTGTCATTTCAAAAACTGTCAAATTAAAAATGTTTTTTATAATCACCAATCAATTTTGATACACTTGTCTTTGTTATTTAGTGAAAAGTATACAAGTTTTCTGTTTAATTTTCTATTGATGATATTAAACAACCATTTTTACCAAACAACTGTAATTTAATATTAAATATCATAGTATTCATCTCTGGGCTGAATCTAGCACAGTTAATTGGAAGGCTAGAGGAAGCGGAGAAAATGCACATTTGTATCAGAAAAGTTTGATGTGAGTCCAGATGCCATTGTAATACCCTAACAACTGCTGATATTTCTGTGAAATTTCAAATATAATAATCAGGAGTAAATCTATTGGAGGTTATTACCACCTTTCATCCATGTTCAGTGATAACTTAATACATTGACAATTTTTTTATATGAAAGTTCTCATCTATTTTGTCTAAATATCAGTTTTTATATTAAATAAGTGGAGAAGCCTTACAAAGGCTTATTCTGCTCTCTCTTATCCAAGTATGTTTTTGTATGAAAGACCTTGTTGAAAGAGAAGAACATTTTAAAGCGTTGTTTGATCCACAGAAATATATAATATTGTTTGATATCAACATTTCACTGCTTTTACAGACAGATGAAATTAAATCCTATGCTGCTGCTCTCTTGATTCAAATATCAGATCTTCTCAACCGGGTCCCTCGACAGTTGCTGCTTATCTTGAAGACAAATGACGTCCTTCGAGGAATAGAGACTTCTCTTGAAACCAGAGCCAATGCCACTTCCTTTATAAACATGTCACGTTGTTGTGTTCGTGCTTTAACAGCAGACAAACTTCAGAAATGTCACTCTAACCTTGAGACATTCAAGGTCAAGCTCGGCTGTCAATGGCAGCTATGTAAAATTGGACTATATGAAATGTTTTTGTGGTTACAATCATCTTTTCTTGGCAGATATATTTTTACCATAAGAAATGCTCAGCTTCTAGGGAGATAACAAATAAAGTACTTAGGTTTAGATTTAGATGAGAATAATTGTTGTAACAAAGAAATGTATTGGGTAGTAAAAAGAATCTCTTACAGAAAGAGGATGAAACCTGTGTCCAGTGGTCATACAGATTATTGCCCTTCATATTAACATGAAACAGTATGTTTCAAAGATAACTTACCTGAATTATGACTTTATTATATCCCTGAAATGAAGACGTTAGTGTGTGTATGTAGGGAGAGGGGGAAGGGAGATTGGTCATGTGTGTGTGGGGAAGGGGGTGAGGGGTGGATGTTTGTGGGGGAAGTTGGAAATGAGGTGGGGGATTGATGTGTGTGGAGGAAGGGCAGAGCTGGGGGATTGGTTTTTGTGTGGGAAGATTGAAAGAGGGTTGGGAGATTGGTGTGCGTGGGAGAAGGGGCAGGTCTGGGGGATTGGTGTGTGTGAGAAAGATGGTGGGCCATTGGTGTGAGTGGGGAGGGGGGAAGGGTGTGAGGAATTGGTGTATGTGGGGGAAAATGGAGGGGGGGGGGCTGGGGGATTGGTGTTATGAGGTGTGTACAGTAATCAGGTTGTCTGATGAGCCACATCCAAAGGCAGGACCATTTCCACACAAGTCCTTTACAATTTTTCATTCAAACTCAAAAATTGTAAAACATTTTACATATAGACATCATGCACTGAAGTTTTGTGCTTATTTTTTTTTTAATCTATCTTTATCTACTTTTCATATGGTTACTAACAAACTGCCAAAATTGTTTTTACCTTGTATACCTAATTTGCTCTTTAAATGTTTTCTGGTGAGAGCATTCTCTGTAATCTGTTGTTTAAAAAAAGGTTATTTCAGGTGGAAAGAGAGCGAGTTGGCAATGATGAAGGTGCTGATTATCAGCCATCATGGTGACAGTTTTAGTGACTTTACCCAAATAAAGAGAAAATGTTGATGATCCTAAAATTTTGCAGAATAATTTTTGCAGTCTGTAGATTTACGTAAAAGTAACATTTGGCACTTCAATTCATAATTTGTTGTTGGTGGACCTTAAAAATTATTGACTTAAACCTATTTGTACTGTGTTAAAATAAGAGAGCAAGTGAAAATTTTGATTTAGATTATTTTATCAGTCCATCAATCAAATGTTCATTTCACCAGTTATAAAGAATATGTTTTAACAAACATTTGTTCACATTTTTTTCATCATTTATGATATCTTGTCAAAAGAATTTTTATTCAGTAAAGTTGCTTTCCAGGACAATTTATTGATATGAAGCTTAGAACACTTAGTACCTTATTAGCAGTGTTCAATCTGTTTATATATTTTATTTGTTGAAAATATCTGACATCTTTTCACTGAAAGTTTTGTGTAGTCAACAACAATCTGAAGTCTGTGCCTTTGTCTTTTACTCTGTAAGTTACCTGACAGCAGGTGCATGGGCAGGTGCTATACAGACACTTCTTTGATATAAAGTAGATATCTTTTGTGATTTGGATGTGAAATTAGGATACATTAGTTAGCCTGTGGATTAATGTTCTAGTTTTAAGTCTTGAATGAATATATCAAATTATTACCCTTATATTGGTAAATGTATGTTGAGTCTTTCTGGCCCCTGTTGGTTTACTGAAACTAAGTATTTAGGAATGACACATAAATCAAGTCATTTGACCTTATTTTAATGTTTTATTTGATGTGCTGACAATCATTCATTATACTTTCATCATTCTGTTTTTTATGGAATGGATTTAAGATGTAAAATGACATAATGAAATAAATCTCTAGAGTACCTCCTTTGTTTAACTTTGTTTTACATTCATATTCGACCTGCCATTAACTTTTATTGAGAAATTGATACAATATGTATCTTGTGATCTACTGGGATAGATTGTATTACATTTCTTGTAGTGATAAAACTTATACAGGAAACAGTGATGGTATAATGGTGAAGAGGTAATGTTTTCATATCTTTTGTGGGACATTTTTCAGGTGAGTTACATATGAACCACAGGTTGAATTTCCACTTAATCTGTGCAATGTTCAAAGCAGCAATGTGTTGCTGTAAAGTGTGACTTCATTAATATCGGACCTCAAAGAATGGTCTACAGTTGTTGGATCAAAAAACATTACACAATATGAACTGTACATGATGTGTGCAAAATAGGATAACTGGATGGAATTTGGTAATACACATCTGTGCACATGAACATAAGCATTAAATCACTTTGATGACCTGACCTCAATTTGTACTACCATAACCTTGATAACATAACCTCTCTCTATAAGTTTGATGACCTGACCTCAATATGTACAACCATAACCTTGATAACATAACCTCTCTGTATAAGTTTGATGACCTGACCTCAATATGTACTACCATAACCTTGATAACATAACCTCTCTGTATAAGTTTGATGACCTGACCTCAATATACTACCATAACCTTGATAACATAACCTCTCTGTATAAGTTTGATGACCTGACCTCAATATACTACCATAACCTTGATAACATAACCTCTCTGTATAAGTTTGAAAACCTGACCTCAATATGTACTACCATAACCTTGATAACATAACCTCTCTGTATAAGTTTGATGTCCTGACCTCAATTTGTACTACCATAACCTTGATAACATAACCTCTCTGTATAAGTTTGAAAACCTGACCTCAATTTGTACTACCATAACCTTGATAACATAACCTCTCTGTACAAGTTTGATGTCCTGACCTCAATATACTACCTTAACCTTTATAACATAACCTCTCTGTATAAGTTTGATGACCTGACCTCAATATGTACAACCATAACCTTGATAACATAACCTCTCTGTATAAGTTTGATGACCTGACCTCAATATACTACCTTAACCTTTATAACATAACCTCTCTGTATAAGTTTGATGACCTGACCTCAATATACTACCATAACCTTGATAACATAACCTCTCTGTATAAGTTTGAAAACCTGACCTCAATATGTACTACCATAACCTTGATAACATAACCTCTCTGTACAAGTTTGATGTCCTGACCTCAATATGTACTACCATAACCTTGATAACATAACCTCTCTGTATAAGTTTGAAAACCTGACCTCAATATACTACCATAACCTTGATAACATAACCTCTCTGTATAAGTTTGATGACCTGACCTGAATTTGTACTACCATAACCTTGATAACATAACCTCTCTGTATAAGTTTGATGTCCTGACCTCAATATGTACTACCATAACCTTGATAACATAACCTCTCTGTATAAGTTTGATGACCTGACCTCAATATGTACTACCATAACCTTTATAACATAACCTCTCTGTATAAGTTTGATGACCTGACCTCAATATACTACCATAACCTTGATAAAATAACCTCTCTGTATAAGTTTGAAAACCTGACCTCAATTTGTACTACCATAACCTTGATAACATAACCTCTCTGTATAAGTTTGATGACCTGACCTCAATATACTACCATAACCTTGATAACATAACCTCTCTGTATAAGTTTGATGACCTGACCTGAATTTGTACTACCATAACCTTTATAACATAACCTCTCTGTATAAGTTTGATGTCCTGACCTCAATATGTACTACCATAACCTTGATAACATAACCTCTCTGTATAAGTTTGATGACCTGACCTCAATATGTACTACCATAACCTTGATAACATAACCTCTCTGTATAAGTTTGATGACCTGACCTCAATATGTACTACCATAACCTTTATAACATAACCTCTCTGTATAAGTTTGATGACCTGACCTCAATATACTACCATAACCTTGATAACATAACCTCTCTGTATAAGTTTGAAAACCTGACCTCAACTTGTACTACCATAACCTTGATAACATAACCTCTCTGTATAAGTTTGATGACCTGACCTCAATATACTACCATAACCTTTATAACATAACCTCTCTGTATAAGTTTGATGACCTGACCTCAATATACTACCATAACCTTGATAACATAACCTCTCTGTACAAGTTTGATGACCTGACCTCAATTTGTACTACCATAACCTTGATAACATAACCTCTCTGTATACGTTTGATGACCTGACCTCAATATACTACCATAACCTTGATAATGTTAACTTTGTGTATAAACTTGATGACATGACACCACATATTTGCCATACTTATCAAATGAATGACAAAGTACATGACTGGCTGATCAAGGATTAACCACTAACACGTCACAGGCCACATTACAGGGTGATCAAGAACTACTCCAGTAACATCAGGCTCAGATGTATATATATATATACAAAAAACTGAGAATAAGACATAACCCACTACGTCATAACATAATGACATCATGAAAAATTAATAACAAGCAACCTCAGCATGAAGCGAACTTATAAAATACCATAAGTCAACAATGTTCTATTTGTCCTAATGTGAAAACTTGATGAAAAGCCGAAAATCACTATACAGCTATGTATTAATTTCACATTCACATTACATCTAAACATTAAAGATGTATTTAGTAACTCATATATGCAATGTTATCTTTCTCTTGGCTGTAACGTGAATTAGACAACTACCAAGAAGTTTAACATTATTGCTAGAAAACAGTTCAATCAATTTGAATACAGATAGTCGACGATAAAAGTATGGTTTAAAATATAATGATCTTATTTCTGAATAAGCTGGACATAAGAGTATAAAATGTATTTCATCCTTCGTTTTTGTCATACAGCGTGCACAATCTTGGAGTTAAATGAAGGCCATGATATCTTCCAGTCTCAACATTTAGTGTATCCCCATTCAACCTATACTTAGAAATAATAATTTTATCTTTAAAGTTAGTGGCTTGTTGAGATAGGATTGTGTAGCAAACTGATTTACGATATGTTTTAATATAATACCCTTCGAAGAATTATCAAAACTATTTCTTAATTCTTAAATAAAAATATCCTGTATCGGTTGTTTATACAATAATAAAAAATATCTTTCATTTGGTACCGCTCTACCAACCATACATCACTAAAACTCCTGTTTTGAATGAAACCCCCAATTTGCCTTACAATTGGGTTTCTTTGTAACTAATAATTCGTCATAACAATCCCTCAATATGCAGTTATCAGTCTTGAAAAGTTTCAGTCAATATTTAACAAAAAAACCTCTACGCTGTATTTAATAAGAAAACTGGCCAAGTTCGCAATATACCATAGAGTTATTAACATTTGTGTTCACATCCGATAGAGATTTCATAAAAGCTAGATGCAGTTTTTCTATC